TTGAGAATTGTATAATATGTGGGCTGTGATATTGAAATTGAAAAATAGGAGGGAGAAGGGATTAGCTTGTAAAAAATAGTCGTGTCTGAGCAAATGCTAATGATCTCATTGCTATTCCATTGTAACATGGCCTGTCTGACTCCTTCCTTAATAAGGGGAAAACCCTCTGATTGTCACTTAAATAAGATTAGAAATTGTCAGAAATGAAACTCATATGAATATAATCAACAAGATCCCTATTTCTTACATGGATTTATAATTCTTATAATTGCTCATTGTTTTCATGCTGCATACTGCTTTCCTAGCACGTAGTTTTCTACTTGAAATCCTCATACGTTCAAAAGGAAGGACGAGTTGACTGACGCATCAAATGCTGACATAGTGACATGTATAGCCAATGGTATCAATTTAGGATTTGAGGTTTATAGGTCGCTACAGGTTATATCTACCTACAACAATAACAACAACAACATTAACAATAAAAAACCCAGTAGTTTTCCACAAGTGGAGTCTGGGGAGGGTGAGATGTACGCAACCTTACCCCTACCCTTGGAAGGGCAGATAGGCTGTTTCCGATAGACCCTCGGCTAGAGAACGACTGAAAAAGAAAAGGTAATTGCAACAAGTAGGAATAACAGCAAGATGAAATAAGATCGAATCTAAGAATGCAGTCAAACTCTAGGTATTAATAGACTAATAGCCATCTATGAATAAAAGATATCACATTAACACTAATGCTAGCGAACTGAGTAAGACAAAGAGAAACGCTCGACTAACTACGAACATTCTACCATAATCTTTGACCTACATACCCTCCTGTCTAGATCCATGTCCTCAATCAGCTCCAACTGGGCCATGTCCAGCCTAATAACCTCTCCCCAAGACTTCTTAGGCCTACCTCTACCCCTCCTGCTGCCCACCGAGGCTAACCGCTCGTACCTTCTTACTGGGGCTTCTATACTTCTCCTCTTAACATGTCTGAACCATCTCAACCTCGCCTCCCGCATCTTATCCTCCACAGGGGCCACTCCCACCTTTTCCCGAATAACTTCATTCCTAATCTTATCCAATCAGGTATGCCCACACATCCACCTCAACATCCTCCACTGGATTTACTCTTAAATATGTATAGATATTTATGGGATTTCATAACATATATATATATATATATATATATATATATATATATATATATATATATATAGTATGAGAAAAAGCTACCGGTTCCCATGAAGACATATATTATGCTCTAGATCTGCCACCGCCAATACACACACACGAAGAGCCTGCGCAAATTCATCTTGCCAGTGCCAGAAAATGGTTTCAAACAAATCAGTGTAATTAGCATCATGTAACGACTCGACTTGCTTTCTAGAACCCCGTTCCCCTAAATAAGACTTTTCGTACTTACTTTTACTGATTTATGACTTGCGGGGGTGGTTAGTTCGGGTTGAAATCGGAACACTTGGTTCCTTAAGGTTGGCTTAAAAGGCCAAGTTTGACTTCGGTCAACATTTTGAGTAAACGACCTCGGAATCGGGATTTGATGGTTCCAATAGGTTCGTATGATGATTTCGGACTTAAGCGTATGTTCGGATCGGGTTTTGGATGACCCGAGAGCGTTTTGGCGCCTAATAGTGAAAGTTGGTTCTTAAAGGATTTTGAAGTTCTTTAAATTTGGTTTGAAGCGAATTTTAGTGATATCGAGGTCCGAATTGAAATTCGAGACTGGAAATAGTTGAGTCCGAAACCTAAATAATTTTTTGACTTAAAATACCTTTCTACAGCTAAAAAAAGTTACATTTCTAACTAAAACGCAGTATTATACTGCGTTTTAGTTTAACGGAAAGTTAGCCGTTAAAGAAAAACGTAGTATAATACTGCATTTTAGGAAGGCGTAGTATTATACTGCATTTTCCTATTAAACTATAAACCCATCGTCTTCCCCACGGGAACCCCATTGTCGATTAAAAAATCCCCCCCCCCCCCCAATCCAGCAACGGTACCCCCCTCCTTTTAAAAAAAAAAATTCTATTGGGCCCCACCCGTCACACAAAAAGTGAAGATTGTAGGTCCCGCATACAACCCAAGCCTTCGATTGTGGTGGATTCCTTGTTTCGGGCTCAAAATTTCAAATTTCCGACATTCCTAAAAATATAAATCGAGGTCACAGAATATGGAAATCTACCGATTACTTTAAGGTTCACCGGACGTTTCCTCACACTCATTTTCATACATAACAACGATACCAATTTGTCGTACTGCATTGTAAGCGGCAACTTAACATTACACTGTCGATGTGAACTATACCTCACAGAGTTATTCTCCATTACAAACTCACCTCCCCAATATAATGAAACCCTTGTTTTGGCTCTTCAGACATTATAAAAAAAAGCTTGATAACAAGAAGAGAAGTATGAACAGAAGTTTGAAGGAAAGTTTTGAATGGATTTTCATAAAATCCTAAAGCCTTTAAATAAGGCAAGTCCTAGCTTGGGGTGCAGAATATTTTTTATATAAAATACAGTATAATACCACGATTTATGTATTTGAATTATTGTTATGTCAGTTATCCGCAGAACACTTATTGGTGGGCCCAAAAAGGAAGTAAATCGCAGTATAATACAACGTTTTAGTAAAACGTAGTATTATACTGCGTTTTACATTAAAAATCGAATTAATAATCAAAACGTAGTATTATACTACGTTTTCCTTTAACGGCTAACTTACCGTTAAACTAAAACGCAGTATAATACTGCGTTTTAGTTAGAAATGTAACTTCTTTTTTAGCTGTAGAAAGGTATTTTGAGTCAAAAAACCCATTATTTAGGTTTCGGACTCGGAAATAGTTCTGTAATATCATTTAAGACTTGCACGCAAAATCTGGTGTCATTCCGAGTAGTCTAAGTATGATTCGGCGCATTCGGAGCATTTGGAAAACTTGAAGCTCAAAGTTTGATTCAATTTGGTTTTGGGGTGTGAATCTTGGTTTCGTTATTGATTTTCGCGTTTTGATACTTCGATCAGGTCCATATCATGTTTACAGACTTGTTGGTGCCTTTGGACGGGGTCCCGAGGGGCTCGGGTGTGTTTCGGACCGCCTAGAGCTAAATTTGAGAAACCAGAAATTTCTAGTTTTGGTTTCCTTCTTCGCGAACGCGGGAGGGCCATCGCGTTTGAGAAGAAGGATATGGGGCAGTGAGCAAATTGCCCTTCGCGTTCGCGGTAAGGCTCACGCATTCACGAAGCCTTGTGAGCCTAGGCCTTCGCGTTCGCGAAACCCCACTCGCGTTCGCTTAGGAGAAATAGGGCCGAGCAGGATCAGTGAGCTTTGCTCTTCACGAAGAGCTGTCGCGTTCGCGATGCCCAATCAGGGTAAGCCTTCGCGAACGCGAGGCTTCTTCCGCGCTCGCGAAGAAGGCCGTCACAACTGGGCAGAAGCTTGTTTTAAATACGGGACTTAGGTATTTTTTTCGTATTTTTCACACACTTGGGCGATTTTAAAGCTTCAAAAAGGGAGATTTCAACCTAGCAATTGAAGTTTTGGATTGTTCGACTCCGATTTGAGGGTTTGAGCGCATTCTTGAGTTTGGAAGTAGGCTTTGAGACGAGGTAAGTGTCTTTTCTAACCTTGTAAGAGGGAAATTTTCCCATAGGTGAACTTAATTAATATGTGATTATTTGTGGGGGCTACGTACGCACGAAGTGATGAGAGTCTGTACGTAGCTACTATTCCTGTTATGTCCGGATAGTTTTAAGCTTACACCATGCTTTGTGGATACCGTTATCTGGTCATATTTGTTGATTTGTATTGAATGGAACTAAGTTGAGGATTTTAAGATTTCAAAGGTTTCAAGTAAATTCATATTTCGAAAAGAATTGAGAAAAGTTATGTTATATTTATATTTAACCGCGTCGTAAGTATATTCCGCGAGCGGAGTGACTATTTTCACTACTCTCAAGGAAACGGATCGTTCGCCTCGGCAGGTTAATAGATGCATCTATGGTTCGACCCTCGGCAGTGCACAATTTACATTTATGTTAGATCGGGCCGAACGTCCTCGGTGTAATTTGTGTGTGATAATAGAACGGGAAGTCCCTTTTATAACGTGTATAAATTCATCATTTGAGAGATCATTTGTTTTAAATGAATAAAGTGTTTTGGGTTCTTAAATATGATGAAAGAATTGTTCAGCTATTTCCTGTTTTGAGTTCTATTGTTATCTCTATATATCATGTTTAATTAGAATTTCATATATTATATTGTTGGCCCTAGTAAGTGTTGGCGTCGACCCCTCGTCACTACTTCTTCGAGGTTAGACTAGATACTTACTGGGTACATATTTTTATGTACTCACGCTACATTTCTGTACTTAATTGTACGGGATTTGAGGCAGGTGCATCTAGCCACCAGTCCGGCGCGCAAATTTGATCTCTATCCCGAGACTTCACGGTGAGCTGCCTTCTGAGCCGTTCTGCAGCAACCGGAGTCTCTGATTTTGAAAAATGGATAAATTATCCGACCCGGCCCATATTTGAGACGAATAAAAACGGGTTTATCTGGCAGATAATATGGATATCCATATTATCCATGGCTTCTTAATATGATCACTTTTGAGAGAATTCCTAGTCTTCCAAACTTGAGGAACTCCAATTTGAGGTTTTACAAATGTAAAAGTTAAACACACTAGTTAACCATTTTCTAAATGGATTATATAGTTCTTTATCCATATTCGACCCGTTTTTAAATGGTTCATTATCCAATCCATTTTTTTATGGATAATATGGGTGGATAACTGTTTTCTTTTAATCATTGTGCGAGCTCTGCTTCGAGCTTTAATCGGATTTGAAATGGTAAACTCTACGATATAACAAGATCAATATTGAGATTTACACTCACTTGTTGAAATTAAAGTTTGTTGACTTGAATCATTGTTGACCATTTAAGAACAACAGTGGAAGGAAAATAACCCAGGAAAGGACAAGACGTCTTAAATCAAATGATGGAGAAGTTAAAGGAAATAGAAAGAACACAAGAACCTGCAAAAAGTTATAAACATAAAGATCCATTCAAATTTATAATTGAAAGAACCTTAGACCTTTAGCATAATAATTAAATAAAATGGAGGAGGTTGGGAGTTGTGAAAACATTTAACTATTATAGAACAAAAAGCATGAATTCAAATTTCTGTTTATCTACCTACTTAAGTCAGAATCTAGTAAAGATGTAATGTTTGAGCAGACAGATGTGTACCCTGAATCTTGATTCTGTCTTCTTTCATATTCCTTCTCAATCATGTTTACTGCCATTAATTTACACTCGCAACCCTCACTGAACCGCCGGTTCTTTCGAACCCAAATCTCCGTTCAACTTCAATCTAGGCAGGCTCTGTTTCTCTTCTCTCCATAAATATAGTCGTTACGTATATGCTTTTGTTTGTATCTATTGTGCGTAAAATATTTCAATTTTTTGCTTTGACTTCAGGAATCTCAAGATCAGTAGCTGTCTCTCTCTAAACAAACCCAAAGATCAACCCACCAATGTTTCAACAGCAGCTGCTGGAACTGGAACTGACACTCTTCGTATCATATTGGCCGCAGGGGGCACAGGTGGCCATATATACCCAGCTATTGCCATTGCTGATGATCTCAAAACCCTTGACCCAAATGCCCAAATACTATTTGTTGGGCTCCCAACTGGAATGGAGAGCACTGCAGTGCCAACAGCAGGATATTCTTTTACGCCAATTCAAGCCGCACCATTGGGCCGGCCCTTCATCTCTCTGTACAATTTATTCGTCCTCCCTTATGTTCTCATCAAATCCCTAATCAAAAGTTTCCTAATACTTGGAGAGTTCAAACCCCATATAGTAATTGGAACTGGTGGGTTTGTTTCTTTTCCGATTTGCCTAGCTGCAGGACTTAGAGGGATTAAACTAGCAATCCAAGAACAAAATTCAGTACCCGGTATTGCTAATCAGGTGCTTTCATTATTTGCTGACAAAGTGTTTGCTGCATTTAATTCTAGTGTTGATTGTTTTTGGCAAAAGAGCAAATGCGTGGTGTGCGGAAATCCAGTGAGATTGTCGTTGAGGAATTATGCGTCCAAGGCTGTGGCAAGGCGTCATTTCTTTTCAAAGGCGGTTGTAGGGAAGGGGGATGGTAAAGTGGTGTTGATTCTTGGTGGCTCTTTGGGTGCCAATGCACTTAATGTTGCGGTCTTGCATTTGTATACTGAAATGTTAGACGAACACAAAGATTTGTTTTTAATATGGCAGACGGGTGTCCTAGCATTTGATGAGATGGAAAGCCTTGTAAAATTCCATCCCCGATTATACATAACCCCGTGAGTGTTGTTTCGTTTCATCATAAATGCCTATTCGTCATTAGTGCTAAAGATGTTTTATTTTCCGATTTAAACTCGAGAATTGTGGGTTACTATATGGCAAATTTTGCATTTCAGGCAAATTTCTTTAATATAAGAGATGTCCTTTTATCCGTTTTAATCTGATTTTATCCTATCTTGGTGAAGGTTCTTGCATTCTATGGATTTAGCATACTCAGCTGCAGACCTTATTGTATCTAGAGCTGGAGCAATGATCTGTTCCGAGATCTTGGCTGCTGGGAAACCTTGTATTCTGGTAATAATCATATATTCTGACTGACATTTGTAGATCCATGGTGCAAATGGCCTTGTGGCTCACATTTGATTTTACCAACTTTGGGAGGAAATTTGATGCGAGGACAACTCTATTCATGTGTAATGTTTATTGGACACACAAACATGCATCAAATAGCAGCCCCTCTGAATGATCAAAATTTGATAGGTGGAGAATATTCGAGAGAGATTAGGTAGAGGACCATAGCAGTTGTCCAAAATATACGTTAACTTACAATTCATAGCTGAAGTACGGCTTCTCGTTTCTTCTTATTATAAATGAAAAGAAATCCATTGCCTCCACAGTTTTACAACTCTAGTATTTCAGATTCCTTGAGAGATTAGTTCATTAATCTTGGCAAGTCATTTCTTTATAGCTTTCTCTTGAAATTTTTGCAGATACCTTCACCGAATGTGGCTGAAGGACATCAATTTCACAATGCTTGTCTAATGGCTGATGTAGCTGGTTCAAGGGTTATAACTGAAGATGAACTTGACTCTCTGACTCTTAAAAGTGCTATTGAAGAAATTTTAGGTATGGTGTTCTGTCTTGTATGTGTAGTATTATTCTGATTATTGCAGTTAATCAAAAAACAATCCATACATCATCTTGCTGTCATGGTTTTGTTTAATAAACTTCAGTTCTTCTCTTCATCTGAATATCTATGATTTTGATTGTGAATATGTAACTCTGCTAAATCCATGCTGGACATTGACGTGACTAATAATATGTAAAACTGGGGCGGTGGGAGTTGGAGCATGGTACCAAAAATTTACCTGGTTTACTGTCGAGTTTGGTAATTGGTTAGACTGCAGCTATATTCATGTTTGACGAGCTTCAAACAAGAAATAGGCACTTTAGACCTAGAATATCTTTAAATCTATTCTCACATTTTAGAGATCTGCTGAAAGAGGATGCAGATACATTTACCATGCCTTAGCAAATTTGAGAAATACTCCTCTCCTGATGTCCTCGCTCCTCACAAATCAGTAATCACAGAATCTTTGACAAACTTGAGAGATAAGAAGAGAGAGGAAGGGTTACCAACTTACCATCATTCAAGATGCTTATTTGATTGACTTTTATTTGGTTGACATAAACCTTTATACGTGCATGTGTTTAGTATCTATATATAGAGCAAGAAGTCTCAGAAAGGCAAAATAAACAATAGAGCTAGGACGCCTTAGCTCCATAAAGAAGTGTCACTAAAAATGAATTAAGAGAGTAAGATTGCTATAGTTCCTACAATGCTGAAGATTAGGTATATGTGGCTTTACTCATGATATGTAATCCATCCATCCTCTTCTTATGGAATTCATGGATTCATTTCATAGAAACATCATACCAGATTGGAAACTGAAAGTGAAAGTGTATGTTTTAGATGGCTTCCAAAAAAACACAAATACATAAAAAGCAGCCCATTGCATCGAATGGCACATAGGAGGTGTTATACCAAACACCACATCGAATGGCATATAGAATGGACCAGGAATCTTGCTGTAAATTTGTTGTACTCATTCTAGTTTTATTTTTCCTTCAAATGGGGAATACTTTGACCATAGCCTTGTCATGGTCTAGACTATTAGCATTTTACGTTTCTTTTAGTGTTTCTCGTGTTACCTAATTTGTCTTCTTTCTTTCGGCTAAGGTTTTCTACTGATTTATTCTTTGAGAAGGGAATGGAGGTTTTGGGGTTTATGAACATCACTTTCCTATGTCTTTTATCAGTTTTGCACTTTAGCGTCCTCAGGCTTTGGACCTTTCGGTTGCTTTAGATGCATCTTTAAAGTGTTTTCTGAAACATGTTATTGTTCCGCTCAAAATCTTTCTGCTAATTATGTAAAGAATTATGGAATCGCCCCTCCTGACACATCTCTGGATTCTAATGTTATCCTTGGCGTAATGGAGTTTTTGCAGATAATGAGGGATTGATGACAGAGATGTCTGAGAGAGCTCTCAAGGCTGCGAAGCCAGATGCATCTGTTGAAATTGCTAAACACATTCTTTCTCTTGTAAACTTTTCGTCACCTCAAGGATGACATTCTGAATCATGATGCATTTATTCACTAATAAAAAATAAAAATCTTAGTTGAAACTTCATTTGGGACTACTACACCGTTCAAAGAAATATCTCAATTGTTTTGTAGATGTGTGGATATTTACTAAACTGAATGGACATAATTTTCCAGAAGATGCTTTCAGACAGCAGTTTTAATTTTGCAATTATGCAATGAGACTTTTGTGGCAATATTGAAGGCTCATCTGTATCCTCCACTTAAATATCCAACCAATGATATTTTAATGGGACAGAGCTGATGTTTGTGCACTTGTTGTCATTGACTTTCTTTTTCCATGCAATGAGATTTTACAATACTGAGAAGATTTTTATGTTGTTGATGTTTGTCGAGATTGGAGAAGAGAATCGAGTTCCAGACCTCCTTCAATGGAGGTTTCTGAAGCTTCTAGAAGAGACGAGAGAGAGAGAAAGATGCTGAAATATCTGATAAAATGAAAAAAATGAATCTCAACTAGTTGTACATTATACTGTTCAGTATATATATATATACATGTGATACTAACTACTAACTAATGCTAACTATTGCTGACTCAGTATACAATTGTACAAAGATAAAAATAAATAGTTAGTATCTCAATACCCCCCTCAAGTTGGATGTGATGAAATCACGCCCAACTTGCCAAGAACGGAGCGGTGTTTGATCCCAGTGAGAACTTTGGTGAGCACATCTGCCAGTTGTTTTCCAGTGCCAATGTGGTGCAGAGAAATGAGTCCTCCCTGGAGTTTAGCACGCACAAAGTGACAGTCTACTTCAATGTGCTTACTCCGTTCATGAAACACAGGGTTCCTAGCAATATGTAGTGCAGATAGCCTGTCACAGTGCACAGGTACTGGTAAACATATTGGCACAGTAAGTTCTTCAAGTAGTCTTGACAACCAAACAAGTTCCCAACAACATTTCTAAGAGCTCTGTATTCTGCCTCTGCTGAAGAGAGGGATATGGTTTCTTGTTTCTTGGATTTCCAACTGATGGGGCTGCCTCCTAAGAACACAACATAGCCAGATATTGATCTTCTAGAATCTGGCAAGCTGCCCAGTCAGAATCGCAGTAGGCAACTAGTGAAAGATCATCTGAATTACTGAAGTATAGTCCTAGGGTAGGATCCTTCTTTAAGTATCTCAGCATGTGGTAGGCTGCCTGTAAGTGAGGCTCCCTGGGATCTTGCATGAACTGGCTGAGATGTTGGACCCCATATGCTATGTCTAATTTAGTGTTTGTGAGGAAATTTAGCTTTCCAACTAGTTTTCTATAAAAGGTAGGATCAGACAATGGAGCCCCTTCTTTTGCTTTCAACTTTATTGTAGGATCCAAGGGAGATGTCAATGCTGGGGAGTGAAGACATTCATATTCCCTCAGTAGGTCCAAAACAAATTTTCTCTGTGAAATAATCATACCATCTGGTTTATATAAAATCCCTAATCCCAGGAAATAGTGCAGCTGACCTAAATCTTTAATTCTGAACTTGTCATGAAGGAAAGCCTTGAGCTGATTGATTTCTTCTGAGTCAGTCCCTGTGAGCAGCACATCATCTACATACACTGCTACAAAAATAATAGAAGAACCCTGTTTTCTGTGTGTATTGGGAAAAAGTTGAATTTATATTGAAGATGACGTGGCGTGACACGTGGACTGGACAAATAGTCAAAGTATAACAATTAAGAAAAAGGTACGGGAGATGACAGGTACGAGAAGAGGAAGTGAAACAGGCACGAGAAGCAGTTTAGATACGAGTCTCGTATCAATTCGAGTCATTTAAAGCCAGTGGATCAAAAGGCATTGAAAACATGGATCCGAAGACAAAAAGGAGTCCAAATTCAGTATTAAATACCTGATACGTTAGAAAATTGGTATTTAATAGGAATGATTGTGTAACGACTCATTTAATATCATTTATTGTCCATAATTGTCTCATTAAAGCTTAGGTTTCATTCCTTTATCTGGAATCAACTATAAAAGGAGGAAGTTGTATTGGGAAAAGATCATTGTTGACATCATACTGAAATAAAAACTTGTTCGCTGCTTTATTATTATTCTCAGAAAGCCTATTATTATTTTTTTTGGTCTCTTGATTATCAGTAACCCGATTTTTCATCTCAAATTCTAGTTTTAACCGAAATTATATTTTTTGGTTAAACAAATTAGTTCCGTTACCGGGAATCTGATAATCTATTCTTTTTAAGTTACATTCTATCTGTTGTTATCATCATGTCACACGACAATAATAACAGTGAAAACACCTTGGGAAATCGTGAAAATCAAATGCATCAAGATCAAGGAGATTTGCAGAACTTTAACGTGGTCCCTTCTCTTCAAAATTCACCACGTCAATCTCGTGAAGGCACTCCTAAATCACATGCTGATGAGCAAGAGCAATCAGAACATTTTGAGGGACCAGAAGAAGCTCTGCAAAGAATAATTGATGCACAGGTTAGCCAAGCTCTTCAGGCGCTAGTTAGCCGGTTACCTGCTGCGCCGTCCACACCTTCGCCTAATAACAATACGCTGGAGAATCCTCGTTCTGGCCTTGTTAATTCAAACGAAGGAACCCCCATTGAACCACGAGAAATGAATCCATATAATCCTCCATCTTGCACCAGAAGCCAAATTAATCAAATTATTAAAATTTAACAAATAGCCACATATATGTAAACCATATACAATAGTCTATTTATATAATCCAATAATGACACCTTCCC